ATAATGTTCCTGTTTTCGCCTTGTTCGATACTGGAGCGACGCACTCTTTTATTTCATGACGATGTCTTGATGCCATCGGAGTTCATGCTATTACCGCTGTCGATCCTCTCGAGGTGAGTTTAGCCTTGGGATGAAAGATAGTGACCACCGCTAAAGCTTTAGATCTCAGCCTTTCCATCGGTGGTCGTTCATTGTCTACCGACGCGTATGTTCTCGAGATGAGGGACTTTGACCTCATTCTCGAAATGAATTGGCTATCCTATTATCATGCAGACATTCGATGCCATGACCGGTAGATTACCCTCTATCTTCTGAGAGACGATTCGATTACCTTCTTTGGCACCAAGAATCATTCATTACCTCATCTCGTTTCGATGGCGAAAGCCACCAAGTTACTGCGACGAGGCAACTGCCAGCGTTATCTGGTGAGCCTTGTCGATGATTCTCAGAAAGCACGATCACCTCACGATGTTCCAGTTGTTCGTGAGTTTGTGGACGTGTTCCCAGACGAGCTTCCAGGAGGACCGCCTAACCGGCAGGTAGAGTTCTCTATCGATCTCATTCCAGGAGCCGGCCCAGTATCCAAAGCCCCGTACCGTATGGCGCCGAAGGAGTTGCAGGAGCTTAAGGCGCAGATTCAAGAGTTATTACGACTCGGTTTCATCCGACCGAGCGTGTCACCTTGGGGAGCATCCGTTCTCTTTGTGAAGAAGAAGGACAGTTCCATGCGCATGTGTATCGACTACCGGGATCTTAACCGGTTGACGATCAAGAATAAGTATCCGCTTCCCAGAATCGACGATTTATTTGATCAGCTGAGGGGAGCCTATGTCTTCTCAAAGATTGATTTGCGATCAGGCTACCACCACCTGAAGATAAAGGAGTCAGATATTGCTAAGACCGCGTTCCGTACTCGTTACGGCCATTACGAGTTCGTCGTCATGCCATTCGGCCTCAGTAATGCTCCAGCAGTTTTCATGGACCTGATGAACCGTATTTTCCATCCCTACCTCGATCATTTCGTTATTGTTTTCATTGACGATATTCTTATCTACTCGAAGAGCCAGAAGGAGCACGAAGAGCATCTGAGGGTAGTTCTCGAAACCCTCAGACGAGAAAAGTTATATGCAAAATTCTCCAAATGCGAGTTCTGGCTCCAACGAGTAGCCTTTCTGGGTCATGTTATTACTCAGGCAGGTATCGAGGTGGATCCTTCCAAGGTCTCAGTTGTTCAGAACTGGTCGACACCAAAGAGTCCGTCCGAGATTCGCAGTTTTCTCGGTCTAGCTGGTTATTATCGCAGGTTCATCGAGAGCTTTTCCAAGATTGCTCTCCCACTATCCCAGCTGACGAGAAAGTCTGTGAAGTTCGAGTGGACTGATCGTTGTGAGTCGAACTTTCAGTAGCTCAAGAAGAGATTAACTTCAGCACCGGTGTTGACTATTCCCGATCCTTCTTGGAGTTTCACCATTTTCAGTGATGCTTCGAAACAGGGTCTAAGATGTGTAC